TGCCAGAAAAAAGTAATTTGCAAACAACCTTTCTCTCAGGAATGTGTATTTTGCATCAAGTGAGTTCTTCCTGTAAAACAGAAAGGCATCAGAAAGGAAAAGCATCTGAAATGCACTTTCAGTTTGTCTGTAGCAAGGCCAGGACCAATTCAGAAAGGAAATGTCTGGAATTCTGCTTGGTGTCACTATGCATAGGGGTTAAGATAACAAATTGCCTCGGGCCTGTTTCAGGGCAGCAAAATAAACCAAAATTGTCTCCAGGGTTGTAAATTCAGAGAATGATGTGGTAGACATGAACATGGAGAAAGAGAACTGGGGCAAATGTTTTTTTAATGTTTGCCGTTGGGCAAGATGTTTTTTTCTTATGAGTTTACTGTTTCTAGTAAATGTGAAATGCTTTATTTCTTTGCTTTATGAACTATTATTATTTAGGCTTAGGTCCCTACAGCGGGGAAAAAAAACCCAGCAGCATATCAGAGAAAGTCATTGTCTAGGGATGGCTGTGAATAGAGTGTAGGTGTTGGATGTTGAGGAAAGGAGGCGGTTGAAGGCGTTGACAGCTCTGCCTCTCCTTTCCTACCTTCAGTGGGACAATATGTTGAATTCAACTGTCATGGTTTAACATGTACTTCTTGTTGTTCTAATTGCACATGGAAGTAAAGTGTAAGCTCTTTAAATGAATCAGATTATGACATTCACTCCCAACATTTGGTAGCTGTTGGGGATGGAGGAAATGTTGATGGAAGGGGGAGTAACTGAGGTTGACCCTGGGTGCTACAAAAAGAAGTTCAGGCAGAACAAATCAAAGTCAGCTCTGAGAATCCCAAAAGAAGAAGCAGACTGGGGTAACTGGAGTCATTACAGCTCTTAAGGTGTGGCAAACTAACAGTAATTTTATTAAAATACCAAGGCTAAGAATCACCTGATAAATGGTATCAATACTTTTATTACCATCTGATTAAGAAGAGACAAAAGGTAGGAATCTTTATTCTCCTCATTTTACTTATTATGCCTGTTTACATGGAGTCATTTCTGTAGGTTCATACCATCTTAACTTTTTTTTTTTTTTTGAGACAGTGATTTTTATTTTATGAGACAGTGTCGCTCTATCACCCAGGCTGGTGTACAATGGCACGATCTCTGCTCAAGGCAATCTCCACCTCCCAGGTTCAAGCAATCCTCCTGCCTCCCAAGTAGCTGGGATTACAGGTGCATGCCACCATGCCCGGCTAATTTTTGTATTTTTAGTAGAGATAGGATTTCACCATGTTGACCAGGCTGGTCTTGAACTCCTGACCTCAGGTGATCTGCCCGCCTCAGCCTCCCAAAGTGCTGAGATTACAGGCATGAACCACTGTGCCCAGCCTCATACAGTCTTAAAAATCTATGCCTAAAGTTTTGAGTATATGCTCTTACTAGTATATGCCCACTAAGAGCATATGCTGAAGGATAAAGCAAAGCAGCTCCTTGAGTGTTAGCCTCAGAAGCTCTGAATTCATGATAAAAGGAAAACTTAGAACAAAAGTGTCAGGCCTCTGAGCCCAAGCCAAGCCATCGCATCCCCTGTGACTTGCACGTCTGCCCAGATGGCCTGAAGTAACTGAAGAATCACAACAGAAGTGAAAATGCCCTGGCCCGCCTTAACTGATGACATGCCACCACAAAAGAAGTGAAAATGGCCAGTCCTTGCCTTAAGTGATGACATTACCTTGTGAAAGTTCTTTTCCTGGCTCATCCTGGCTCAAAAAGCTCCCCCACTGAGCACTTTGTGACCCCCCACTCCTGCCCACCAGAAAGCAACCCCCCTTTGACTGTAATTTTCCTTTACCTACCCAAATCCTATAAAACTGGCCCACCCTTATCTCCTTTCGCTGACTCTCTTTTTGGACTCAGCCCACCTGCACCCAGGTGATTAAAGAGCTTTATTACTCACACAAAGCCTGTTTGGTGGTCTCTTCACAGGGATGCGCATGACAAAAAGCATACAGAGTGGGCTCGTGAGGATGCATTCTGAGTCAGCTTGGTGTGTTTGGGTAAATCTCCACCTGAAGCCCAGTTGAGGCTGAGTGTCCTCCCTTTCCCAGGAAATGAGCAACTTAAAGCATGACCTTCCAAGAAGGAAAAAGTTTAGTATATTAATGTGTAAGCAACTTTATCCTTCTGCCTTTCCCTTCCTTGCTTACAGCCTTCTGTGACTGGTTTACAGGAATTTTCAAAAGATCTGATTAGCTTTACTTGCAAGAGTTTCAGGGTAATGATGTGTCAGCTATAAACTCATTCAGCTAATCTGAAGGAACATTTGTAGAGCAGGAAAGAACTAGATTCAGAGGTGCTGACTTGTGAAACCTGGTGGTAAGTGATTTCTAGCTAAAAGATCTAAAATTCTAGTTTCCTAATCGTGCAAAGGAAAGGACGTGATGATGAGCAAAGAGAAAAAGAAAACCTAAACATCATCAACAATAAAAATATTTATTCATTTATACCCTCCATGCCCAACGTCTTCCTCTCTCATCAAAATTAGGCAAAGTCAGTATGGTTTCCCACAGAGGTTAGAGGGAAAATGGCTGCAGCCCATTACCCTAGTATGAAGGGCTGCAGGCATGTTTCATTAGGAGCCATGTAGGCACAACACACAGCAGTGTAGAGAAGCAAGGGCTGAACATGAAAGTCACTGCTGATTAAATAGCAAGCTATGTCTGTGAATGCTGTTTCAGTCATTAATTAATTCACTTAATCCTTGTGGATATACACGACATCTGCTGAAAGCAAGACACTCTGGGGAACACAAAATTATAACAGAGCTCACCCTCCCAACATCACCACATATTCCATTTACTAGGATTGCAAAACAATTTACCCCAGAACTTAGCGGCATTAGACAACTGTTTACGATGCTCATGGATTATGTGGGTCAGGGATTCACTCAGAGCACTGCAAAGATGGCTTGACTCTCTATTGTGGTATCTGGGGGCCTCGGCTGGAAGATTTGAAGGCTGGGGGCTGGAATCATCCGAGGCTTGTTCATTCATTTGTCTGGTCATTGGTGATGACTGTCAACTGAGACCTTAGCTGGCAAATTGGCCAAAACTCCTACACATGGTCTCTCCATGTGGCCTGGGCTTCCCCACAGCATGATGGTGGGTTTCCAAAGGTCAGTGCCAGAGAGCGAATCAGGCAGAAACTGTGTCTTTTTTACGACCCAGCCTCAGAAGTCACATAGCATCAATTCCACTGTACTACATTGGTCAGGAAGGTCACATACCCTGCTGAAATGGAATCAGAGGGAGCATCAACCCCACATGTTAGTGGAAGAAATAAATGTCAGTCCCGTTGAATGAAAAGCAGATACATATGTATGTGTATATATGTCTATATGAAAACGTACATATATGAATATATGGACATATATAAAATCATCTTTGGAAAACACAACTACCACAATTAATAAAAGAAAAATATCACAGTACAAAATAAAAAGTGATCTGCATTGTGATTATTGTGAAAGCAATGACCTAAGGACTCATATGACTGGAAATATACAAATAAAAAAAAACACCTGAGCGTTGTGCTTTCCAACCTTGAATCGCTTCCATATTGCTTCCACTGTTTTCACTATGACTCTCTCATCATCTGCACCATTGTTTCTTTTTTTTACTAAAAATTGGCCTCTGGGATAGTTGTTTCTTTAAACTCAAATTTGTTTAAAAAGCTAAGAACATATTGCTACAGAAAATAAAATTTATTTTGCCATAATTTATTTGCCATCAAATAAAGGGTAACTTTAAATGTACTAAAAAGTTTTTAAAAGTTATTAGATGCTAGATATACTGCTTTTTTTTTTAAGATTCTGAGACTGAAGCAAGCCATTTCTTTGCCAAGGAAACAACAACAACAAACATGTCAGCAGGTGTTACAATCACACTCCTACCAAATGAAGGCTCTCCCCTTGCCTTAATCTGAAAGATTTGATAGAGAAGTGGAAGGAAATGATGCCTATGGTGAAGAGCAGGGATAATAATGGCCACGTCCTTGTACCACCCAGGAGCCTTCAAACAGCTTCCGATAGGATGGCTTTACTTTCTTGGCAAACACTGATCCAGCATGATAAAAATTCTAGATAGTGAAGCATTAATCTGTCCAAAACTAAATTCCTGGGATCTCTGAGGGAGACCATCATCTGGCATGAAATTGATGCTTATTCACTAATAAATGTATTTGTAATCCATCATTTGTCAAAGGCTAAGCTCTTCTCACTCCCTCTGTGTGTGTGTGTTTGTGTGTGTATGTGTGTTTGTGTGTTTTCCTCATTAATACTTCCCTGAAAAATCCAATGAACAAAAAAAAGACCTTGACTAGTTGGCTTCTGTATAAAGCCAACTGCCCCCATTATCTTATTACTGCTCTCCACATCCTGGTGGAATTGACTTTTTGCTTCCCCAGTTTGGTATAACTAATGCTCCTGACCATTTCAGGGCCACCGTAAGTCCAGAGCCCCCAGGCAGACTTGCAGTTCTTAGTATGCAGTTATCTAAATCCAATAACATTCATTCCTAAAATTATTATTAGCACTTCCAGGAGAGTGTTGTACTAGGCTCTAGAAAAGTCAGGGACAGCAAGAGATAAATACCTTCTTGGAATACAAAGAAATGCACTTGGGGCCACAGCTATTTCTCCCCTATAATGTAATTAATTGCTTAGCAACCCCTTGTTTTTTGCTAGAGTATTCATTAAAAAACACTACTTCCTAGGGATTCCTTGGCATTTTTTCTCAGCAGAGATGGTTAGATCATTTTCACAGCTTCTCCACCTGGACCTTTTCTTTGTGCTTTGCAGCAGTATTGAGAAGGTCTGCAGAGGTTAGGAGGAAGACAAGAACTAGATATTTATCTTTGGGGAATCCAGTCTGTAGCCTTTAACACACTCTTAAGACTTTTAACTAGAGTGTCTTCCTAGGCATGGGGCCAGCATTGACAGATCTTCTTTTCCTTCTTTATTTATAGTCAGCTACAGTGAAGCTGTCTAAACCGGTGGCTCTATGGACCCAGCAGGATGTCTGCAAGTGGTTGAAGAAACATTGTCCGAATCAGTATCAGATCTACAGTGAGTCATTCAAACAGCATGACATAACTGGTAAAGTATGCAGTATCCCAGATATTTCACTCCCTTTCTTTCTCCCAGTCACGATGGCCTTTCCCATACCCTTACCAATGAAACAATATCTTCTTACTGAAATTTTCTGACATGGGTTTACTTTCAAAGGGGTGATAAATTCCAGATCCATGTGAGCCATGCTATTTAACAAACATACATGGTTATTATAGAAAACTGTGAATTTTGAGCATCCATTTTAAAAGTATATGGGAATCAGGGTGCAGGATTGGGGGATCCTAGAGGAAATAAGAGCACACCAATCAGAGAGAAAGGAAAGAAGGAAGTCTTTCACATGAACTTGGCTATGGAATCACTATGTAGATCTTCTAAGTAGAAAAGGATTCTAAGTAGGAAAATGCTTTTTAAAAAATGTTTAAGAAAAAATGTTTAATGTATATTGACTTCTTTGACTGGGTGAGCTATATACCTGTATCCAATCACGTGAAAGAGTCCAGGGGAAAAGTCAGTTTCCCTGACACTCCTGTCCTCTGGGCATCTGTTTCCCTGTTGACCATCTTCTAGTATCTGCACCTAGCAATGTTGCAAGTTTCCGAAATGGAACATAATAATACTAACTCTCTGCCCTTGGGATGAATACTTTCAAGGCACAGATTACGATTCCATTTAGATCAAGGGTGTTCAAATATTACATGTGGAGGTCAATAAGTACTTGAAAGCAGAAAATAGAACAGGATAGTGAACCATAAAGGACCTTCAGATCAAGTCTCTCAATTGGGGGACAGAGTGGGCAAGATGGAGCAAATATGCCCACTGTGGTAGCCCATCAGAGTAAGGGGGCTTTTCCAGACCTTGCCTGCCCTTTCACCCTAAGATTCTATTTGTATGTGGCCAACACTTCTCTTTTCCTTTCACAAATGGTGCAGTGAAAGATAGGACTGAGGATACACTCTGTAAACCAAAACTGTATAGCTTCAAGGGGGAAACAATGTTAAGAAGTCGTTTCTAGTCCAGATCTTTTTTTCTGAGAAAATGATTTCACTCTGGTGGTAAAGTGACTTGTCATGAAATAGCTGAACACTCTAGATGACAAACCTCTTTCCAAACCCATACGTTCTGTCATGACAAATCCTAATCTCTCTTGGTCTGTTCACCCCATTACTATGAAAAGGGACTTGTTAAGCAGAAAGTATTTATTTTTGCAGTTCCGCTCTTAGGCTGTATCTGTGAGATCTAGGGCAGGTCAGTTCACCTTCTTAGAAGAGGTCTTAGTCGGTGGTCTTCTAAGTGCGTTTCATGGACGTGGCCAAAGGGACATGGGTGTGCTTTGGGTAGAGGCGGGTGTGTGAACCAAAGCCGCTCCCTTTATGTCTGTTGTATATATTTGAAACACACAGAAAACTTGATTGATTTTGAAAACTTGATTGATTAAAAAAAAAAAACTTTTTAAAACATTTAAGCACTAAATGTTTAAAAAAATGCTGAGCTAGATGATCCTAGATTCCTGCCGACCACATTGATATGTCTAAATATATAGGGAAAACACCCAATTGTAGCTGAAGCTGAGTTAACAAACAAGAGAGTAAAATCCTTCTATTTTAAATATAAAAAGGGTCCTTTATGCATTTCTTCTCTGCCACTCCCAACTAGAGCCAATGGCCCTTTTGGATGAAATCTATGAAATTCGGAAGGCAGCGTGGGTACTTAGCTTCGATTCCAAGTGTCTACATTTCATTTTCTTAGTTCCTCCCTTAAGAGTATAAGAAAAGCCCATCTAGGGTCAGTTATTCTACTCCTAAACGTAATCAATCAGTTAGTAACCATTTGCCTGATTATGGTAGCCTTCATCAGATAATGGCTGCTTAATGTTTCTTAATGCCTGTGCGATAGTAATGGCAAAGCCTTTTTCATGATCTTATTTGAAAGCAGTGTTATCTTTTATTAGGGGTGAGAATTATGAGGTCCCCTTGAGGGAGGATAAGCATTTATAATGGTTTGAAGAGGATGAGCCTTACAGTCCTCAGAAATAAAGACTCATGCTTCAGTGCGTATGGAATAAATGGTCCCACTTCCCAAGGTTTTCTGCTAAGTGACATGAGGACAGGAGTGTGGAAATGAGGTATGTATTTCAAACAGTTGTCATATGTTTTTGGTGGCAGACTTGGTCTTCATGAAACACACCTGGTATTGGGAAATCATAACTTTCTTGGGATCTTGGCAAGCTGCTTAACCTGGGCAAGTTACTTAACCTCACTTCCTCATCTCCAAAATAAAGATAATAGTACCTGGCTCAGAGAGACATTGTGAACATTAAGTGAAATAATATAGGTAAACCACTAAGCTAACAGTTTATTGACTCCTTTTACATGCCGGCATTGTGCTATTATTCATGTCAGGACTCACCTGGAGGTGTCAAAAAACATGCTGTTATTTCCTTTTAAGGGCAGCCTATTTTCTGGCAAGAAGAAGAAAGCAGGGAATTATTTGGGGACTTAGGGAACAGAGAGAATGATTTCAGATTAACTTTTGGTCTACATCTTTTTGACATTCACCTGTTTGAAACCTCAGAAGACCACTCTCTTCCCCTGTTCTCTGGCCCCTGCCTCTCTAAGAGTGAATGCAAAATACCCAAATGATCACAAGTGCCAAGTGGCCAGAAAATAGCTTTCAGGACTTCAGCCAGTGTGCATTTACCAGCCCTATGATGCTAGAAGCTGTGGGAATCCCAGTACTCTTGGAAGCTGTGATGAAAAGGGCAAAGAGGTTTGTAAAACTCAAGATGTGATGACAGAGCAAACCTCACCAGGCTATGCAGACAGGAGAGTGGCTTTAGAGAGGACAGGGGAATGGTTACAAGTACCAGGTCGCAGCCCAGAGCTGCATCATAGCCTTGTGATTTTGTAAAGGTTGCTGGGTGCACGTCAGCTTTCTTCACCTGCAGAGGAGGAGATGCTAATAGTATCTACCTCATAGTGTTGCTATGAAGGGAGTCCACAGTCACAATGAGCATACAATGCATGTGAGCTGCTGCTCTTTTCCAAGTGTTGCCCTGATGGTATCTGTGATAACAAAACGATACACACAATGTTGACTTCATCCAGCTTTATTATCCTGGGAAAGGAGGGAAAGGAGCATCTATGGGAAACAAAACATTCTGGGCTGGTAAATGTCCTGTGCTACTCTTTAAGGCTGAAGAAAAGATTGTTCATGTGTCTCTTATTTATGCTTAGATTCTCTTGAGTGCTGCTGTTCTTTTGTTTTTCTTAAAGCAAGGATCTCCTCTATCATGCTCATGGAGGAAGCATGTTATATCAGTGTTGTATACAAACATCTCTTGATTTAGAGGCACGTGGTCCAGTGATGGTAAATAAAAAAGACGTATATTAAATGGAGAGAAAAAGAAGAAGAAAACAGAGAGACGTTTTCTGCACATAGGTCTGAGTCAAATCCTCCCTGCCCTCTATCCCAGCCTTTGACATGTAATAGAAACATGATGCCACACGTTAGTTTCTTGTCAGTAAAATGATAATATTTATCTTAAAGAATTTGGGGGAAGATTAAATGGGATGATGAATGTGAAGGGCCTAACTTAATGACTAGCTTAATGACTCATATAGTGGACATTCATTCATCCTTTTAGCAAGTATTTATGGACTATCTACCATATACCAGGTTTTCAGAATATAGTGGTAAATAAAATAATCGTGATCCATGTAGGGAAAAAATTGTGCTTCCACGGAAAGCTATGCATTGTCATCTATAGCACAACATTTGGGTTATATAATTCTTTGATTCTAGGGAGCAACTTTATAACTCTGTGAATTATAGATAACAGAGAGTAATACAATATAATTTTTGTCCATTGACATGTAAATTCTGTTCCATAGAGGTTCAGTTGACTTCCCTGGCCACTGTGGAAAAGGTGAGTTTTACCTCCCATTTACACATTTATTTCAGTCTTCCTGATCTATAATTGTGTCTGCTGTTCAGATTCTCCTTTGAGCTGGTTTTAACATCTTGCCAGTTTCCTCATTAATAAGTTAAATTAAAATCTTAAAGATGTGTTCACTTCCATATTTGTATGACAGTCATGATTTTAACCTTTTCTGAAAATTACCCTTTAACCTCAGTAGTTGTTTAAATTGTCTGTATTTGTTTTTACAAAGAGTTCTACTATATTAACATTTGTTTCTGTGTTTATTTGAGGAACCTTAAATTCTAAACAGAATTTTCGCTTAGGTGCTTCAAAGTCTAAGAAAACTTTAGACATATTTTAACCTATCAGTGTTCAAAATCTTTTGCAATATCAAAATTTTTGGTAATTTTATTGTGCCCAGGAGATACCTGCTCTTTGGCGGCAGATGTGTTTAATCAGAAGAGAAGCTACAGTAGTGCCCCCTTATCTGCAAGGGAGACATAGCAGGACCCCCAGTGGATGTCTGAAACCATAGATATTACCAAACACTATTTATATAGTGTACACATACATACCTATGATAATTTTTTTTAATTAGGTACAATAAGAGATTAACAAGAACTAATGATAAAATAGAACAATTAATAATAATATACCATAATAATAATTAGATAAATATCTCTCTCTGTCTCTTGAAATATCTTATTGTACTATATTTTCAGACCACAGTTGACCACAAGTAACTGAAACTGCACGAAGCGAAACCTTAGCTAAGGGGGGTGCTGCTGTACTAGTAGCATGAACTCCCTGCAGAAGCACACTTTAAAAAGAACAAGATGGTTAGAACACTGGAGAGGCATTAGGATATATAGACTGAAATCATGAGATTAGGTTTGAAGCAAAGAAATTTGTGTATGTTTCTGTGCTTGCAAGATTCTGTCCCTAGTTTTCTGAGGCCTGGCTTGAAATGCTGATGAGGAGACTCTACTGGGGCCAGGTGTAAGCTCACAGGCACTTTCAGATTCTTTTATGCACAGTCGAGCATCTCTTCAGGTTTGAAGTTTCTTCCTGTGGTGGTTGCTAACATCACCTCATCTCGTTTGGC